TGTGTGTGTGTGACTGTGGTTGTGGCTGTGGCTGTGTGTGTACCTGGGTATGTGTATGTATGTGGGTATGTGTATGTGTGTGTGTGGCTGTGGGTGTGGGTGTGGCTGTGTGCGTATGCGTGGAGGGGGAAGGGGCTGTGTGTGTGTGACAGTGGCAGTTCTGTTGATGGCAGCTCTTCTGGTGCACTCCCCGCTGCTGTGTGTGTATGTGTGTGTGGGGAGGAGCTGTGTGTGTGTGTGACAGTGGAGGCTCTGTTGATGGCAGCTCTTCTGTTGGACTCCCCACTCTGCCAGGATGCCACTACCATGGCGTCACTGCTGCCTCCGGAGAGACCCTTCCTGACCCACTTGACCCTGCCTGTTCCCTCTGCACCTGCCAGGTGAGGCAGCCCCTTTGGGACTTTGGTCACCTTTCCTCCCTTGATCCTCTTCTCCGGCCAGGAAGAGGCTGTCTCCTTCACTCAGGTGGCAAGGGCTACACTCTGCCCTTGACATCTCATGGGACAGGACTGGGCTCAGGTCTCCCGGGCTAAGGGAGGGTGTTTGGGCCCCTGCAGGCTCAGTAGGGGCTCCAGCCCTGGGGAAATGTGCAGCCCAGTTGAGGGTGTGATGGGCCTCTCTCCCCTAGGAAGGTTCCATGCGCTGCCAGAAGAAGCCATGTCCCCCAGCTCTCTGCCCCCACCCCTCTCCAGGCCCCTGCTTCTGCCCTGTTTGCCACAGTGAGCTGCCTTCCTCATGCCCGGCCCCCACGCCCTTCCCCACCTCTGCCTCCCCCTTCCCTTCCTGCCAGGCCTAAGGTTGGGCTGAGCAGGGCAGGGTGGTACAGGCCCTCCACCCAGGAGGTATGTCCCCCACAGGCTGCGTCTCTCAGGGCCGGGAGCACCAGGATGGGGAGGAGTTTGAGGGAGCAGCAGGCAGCTGTGAATGGTGTCGCTGTCAGGTATAGCAGGAGGTGGGAGGCATGGAGTGACGGCTGGACCATAGCACCTCTGGGGTCCAGCCTAGGCAGCAAGTCAGTATCTCTGCATCTCCTACAGGCTGGCCAGGTCCGCTGTGTGCGGCTGCAGTGCCCACCCCTTCCCTGCCAGCTCCAGGTCACCGAGCCGGGGAGCTGCTGCCCTCGCTGCAGAGGTATGGCTGCCCCCAGCCCTACCCCTTGCTTCAGCCCCTTGGCCCTATGTCCCTCTGTACCCACCCCACCTCCCTCCCCTCAGCCAGCTCTTCTCCCACCTCCCTGCCCCCACAATTGGCGCTTGCATATACCCTTGCCACCTTCAGCTTCTCCTACCTCTCCCTGTCCTGGACTGCCCAGACCATCCCTCTTCCAGGTGCTGGTTAGAGTTCCCTCAAAGCTGCCTCTCTTGGTTTGGGTGCAGCAGCTCACACTTGAAATCCCAGCACTTTGGGAGGCCAAGGCGGGAGGATCACTTGAACCCAGGAGTTTGAGGCTGCAGTGAGCTGCATTTGCACCACTGCGCTCCAGCTTGGGCAACAAAGAAGACTCTGTCTCAAAAATAAAATAAAAAGCTGCCCCTCTTTCTAATCACACCCCATTCATCATCATATCATCATCATCACCACCACCACCACCACCATCATCATCATCATCATCATCAAGATACCTGACATTGACTGAACAGGTAGCATGTGCCAGGCCCTGAGCACTTTACGTGTATTATCTCATTTAATCAGCACAACAACCTTACCAGATAAGTACTCTTATTCCTCCTATTGGACAGATGAGAAAGTGGAGGTACAGAGAGGTAGAGAAGGTGGCAGAGCCAAGATGGGCACTTGGGCCATCTGGCTCTGAACTTGAGCCTTTCTGAGCCTGCCCACTGCCCCCTCACCCCACACACTGCCCAGCCTGGTGTTGTTTCTACAGAACCACAGAACTGTCATAGCATTTCACTTGCTCTGTGAGGGAGGCAGGACAGAGGAAATCCCCATTTAACAGATGAGGAGACTGAGGCTCAGAGAGATTGAGTTATCTTGGGCACACAGTTAGCAATGGAGCCATTCACCTGGTCCACATGCATTCATGACACAGCTGCTACATGCCAGGTACTGTGACCGATGCGGGCTGCACTGGGCAGTGCCCGCTGCCTGGAGCTTGGTCTTCAGAGCAGGCAGGAACAGAACAGGATTAGAACCCAGGTGTTCTGAACCCCACCCAGTGCATTTCCCCTCCACAACAGACAGGAATTCTGCCCCATCCTGCCTTCCTGCCATATCCCTGCAAACCCACTACTCCTGGCGCCACATGCCTAGCTGACCACTGAGGGTGGGGGGCTAGGGGCAGACGTCCAGATCTCAACCTCCAAGCTCGTCCCTGCCCACCTTGCACCACAGGCTGCCTGGTTCATGGGGAAGAGCACCCTGAAGGCAGTAGCTGGGTGCCCCCCGACAGTGCCTGCTCCTCCTGCGTGTGTCACGAGGGTGTCATCACCTGTGCACGCGTCCAGTGCATCAGCTCTTGCGCCCAGCCCCACCAGGGGCCCCATGACTGCTGTCCTCGATGCTCTGGTACTGGAAGCCTGGGACGGGAGGGAAAAGGCAAGGAGGGAGCCCTGGGCCCACACCTCCCTGCCTGTGCTGGGCTGGGTGGCAGAGACAGGCAGTTGGAGAAGTGGCCTCCATCCTTGTGCACACTCCACTCCCTGGGGTCAGGGGGAGCCTGGGGACAGAGGACTCCACCCTGGCCTCGCTGCCAACCTGAAGGCCCCCTGGTCCCGTTCTGCTCTCACCCCAAAGACTGTGAGCATGAGGGCCGGAAGTACGAGCCCGGGGAAAGCTTCCAGCCTGGGGCAGACCCCTGTGAAGTGTGCATCTGCCAGGTAGGTGAGGGCTCAGTGGAGGGGCTAGGGCACCTTGAGGGGTGGGGAGTGGGCAGCATGGGATGAGGCCCAGCCAAGCTGGTCACTTCATGGAGCGGGCACTCTGGGGGCCAGACGAGTGTATCCCTGTGGCCAGGAGACAAGGCAGGGCTGGGACCAACAAGGCCTGGAGGCCTGGGTTTAGACAAGGAGCCCACGTTCCAAGTGTGCAGGAGGCCATGGGTGGTCCCCCAGCTGCAGTGCAGGGTGAGTGTGTATGGCCGGAGAGCCACCTGGAACATGGCTAGCGTTGTGGAGATTCTATTTGCAAGGCCCTGGAAGGGCTTGGAGCAGGCAAATGACATCACAGGCCAGGGGACTAAGCCATGGGCCTGGGGAGGAGGATGGCATAAGCCTGCTGGAGGATCAAAGGTCACATGAGGGCTCAGGCCCAAGTGACTGAAAGGAGAAGGAGACACCGTCTCGGAGACTAGGGCATGGGGTGAGGAGCATGTCTAGAAGACTCTGAGTCTCCCTTCAGCCTGGAGTTCAGGGCCCAAGATGCGTCCCGGAAGAGGTTGCAGCAGGCAGAGGGAGGGGCCGGAAGTCCCCGCCAAGGGCAGCTCTGGGTTTTTGTGGCCCGGGACCCACCGCTGCTCACTCATTCTTGTAGCCACAGCCTGAGGGGCCTCCCAGCCTTCGCTGTCACCGGCGGCAGTGTCCCAGCCTGGTGGGCTGCCCCCCCAGCCAGCTCCTGCCCCCTGGGCCCCAGCACTGCTGTCCGACCTGTGCCCGTGAGTATAGGGATGAGCCTGGTACTGGAAGCCTGGGGCAGGAGGGGAAATGCGGGGAGGAGGCCCTGGGCCCACACCTGCTTGTCTCTGCTGGGCCGGGTG